GATACAAAACTGGGAGGGGTTGCAAGTGGTTTGGAGGAGAGGATTATAATTCAAATTAATCTGGGCAAACTGGAGAAATGGTCGGAGGTCAATAGGATGAAGTTTAATGCAAAGTGCTCCACTTAGGAAGGAACAATCCGTGTCTCACACACAGTATGGGAAGCGACTGTCTGGGAAGGGATCTAGGGGTCAGAGTGAACCACATGCTAAATATGAGTCAGCAGCGTGACAGGGGGGCTGTGTCTACATTGGCACCCTTTTCCGGAAAAGGGATGCTAATGAGACACTTCGGAATTGCAAATGCCGCAGGGGATTTAAATATCCCCCGTGGCATTTGCATGAACATGCCTGCCGCTTTTTTCCGGCTCGGGGCTTTGCTGGAGAAAAGCGCCAGTCTAGACGGGATCTTTCGGAAAATAAAGCCTTTTCCGGAAGATCCCTTATTCCTCTTAAAATCAGGAATCAGGGATCTTCTGGAAAAGGCTTTATTTTCCGAAAGATCCCGTCTAGACTGGCGCTTTTCTCCGGCAAAGCCCCGAGCCGGAAAAAAGCGGCAGCCATTTGCAATTCTGATTTGTCTCATTAGCATCCCTTTTCCGGAAAAGGGTGCCAATGTAGACACAGCCGGTATGTCTACACTGCAGAGTTGTTCCAGAAAAACTACACTTACATCCACACTGCAATTGCGTTCTTTTGACAGAAAGTCGAAAGAATGCAGGGGGTCTTTCTGACATTGGTAAACCACTTTCTATGAAGAAGACGCCTTTTTCTGAAAGAGCTCTTTCGGGAAAAGGCGTGTGGACAGGAAAGAGGAGGTTTTTTTCGAAAGAAGAGGAGGCTTCCTGGAAAAAGCACAGGAGCCCTGGTGGTCCCTCTGTCCATAGTAATCACAACTTCAATGCGAGATAGCATCCAATCAATGTGGACGCTATCTTTCAAAAAAGCAGACTGCTTTTTCACTGTGCTTTTGCCGTGTGGATGCTCTTTCAGAAGAAGCTTTTCCAGAACATCTCTTCCGGAAAAGCTTCTTCGGAAAGAAGCCTAAAGTCTAGACATAGCCACACTGTTGCAAAAAACCCAAACATGATTCTGGGAGGCATTAACAGGAGTGTTGTGAGCCAGACGTGAGGAGTCATTCTTCCACTCTACTCTGCACTGATTAAGCCTCAACTGGAGTATTGTGTCCAGTTCTGGGCACCACAGTTCAAGAAAGATGTGGAGAAATTGGAGAAAGTCCAGAGAAGAGCAACAAGACTGATGGACGGTCTAGAGAACAGGGGCTAGGAGGGAAGACTGAAAGAATTGAGCTTGTTTAGTTTAGAAAAGAGAAGACTGAGAGGGGACATGATTGTGATTTTCAAGTACCTAAAAGGGTGTTACAAGGAGGAGGGAGAAAAATTGTTGTCCTTGGCATCTTAGGATAGGTCAAAAAGCAATGGGCTTGAACTGCAGCAAGGGAGGTTTAGGCTGGACATTAGGAAAAACTTCCTGCCTGTCAGGGGGGTGACACACTGGAATCAATTGTCGAGGGAGGGTGTGAAATCTCCGTGACTGGAGATGTTGAAGAGGAGGTTAGATAGACGTGTCTCAGGGATGGTCTAGACCAGGGCTACTCAACACGTGGGCTGTGGGCTGCCGCGGTCCACACTGCAGTTTGGGTTTACGCAGGGCTCGATTCATGGCCCGTTGGTGGGAGCCAAAACAAAAGAGTCGTCATTATAATGGTCTTCTGTTGATGTGTGTTAGTAATTCCTTGACTGTCGTTGCTCATTACAAGTTCTGTCATACGGTGGAAATCGGGTCAATGTTGCATTGTATTAATATCAGTAGAACTGACTGAAATGGGGCCTGTGTCTTGCGTAGTCTTGCCCTAATCTTTGTATTCGTGCCCATCAGTGTGAAAGAAGCTATTTGCATATATTTGCATGTCGATGCAACCACACTTCAGTTGTGGCCCTCGGCGTGTGCTGTGAGCATCACTGCGGCCCCCGGAGCTTCCAAAGCTGAGTAGCCCTGGAGTAGACGGCGCTTGGTCCTGCCACGAGGGCAAGGGACGGGACTCGGTGCCTGTCAAGGTCCCTTCCATTTCTAGTGTTCTGTGAGTCTATGACCCCCGCACCTATTGGCACCTGCAGAGCCACCTCCCCTCCCCTTCTCCTCCCTGCTGCTGCCTGTCTATCAGCGGGGAGCAGGGGACTCCCCAGGAGCGGGGCGGGTTGCACTGGCTGGGGGAGTATTTTAGTAACAG